TTTTTTTTTTTTTTTTTTTTTTTTTTTTTTTTTTTTTTTTTGGAACTCCTATTAGTTTTTTTTTTCTAGTTAAAATTTTAACAAGTACGTACTTAGTATGTATTGTAATCAGGCTGGAAGCTCAAAAATCCGCCGGTGGTGTTGAACCTGTCATCTTAATGTGAATTAATAGGTAGCTTGACCATTTTATCTACTTGCACACTTTAGAAATAGGTCGAAATATTGGTTATTTTATAGAAGGCCGGAATCGAATGCTTCTAATGCTTATGCCCAGGACCACTACTGATTGTAATCATTTTACAAAAATAGGAAAGCTTTCAAATTTTGAAGAATTTTTTTATAAATAACATTTTTAAGCCTAAAATCATAAAATAACTTAGCATTGATATTATCCAAATAAAATTAGTAAAACAGAATAATTTTCTACTTCAATTTAGAGGCTATATTTTTCTTAACAACATGTAGTCGAATTTTAGGTTACGAATGGAAGAATAGGAAAAAGACAGATGATATGTATTTGGAGAAAAACTGTTTTTGAAATTTCATTGAATATTTTTTGTTTTTAATATTTATTTAGCAAAAGATATGCATACAGTTCAGATTTTTGTTTTTTGTGAACAATAGTCTTATTTAACACATCGACTGATGAAGAATAGTCTTTAGAGACAGTATCTAAAATCTTAAAACAAAAAGAACCGTTTCGATTGCCATTTATCTTTATTAGAATGGTCGATGATTTCAGTGTTATAAATCGTCAGAGAACTAAAATATGTGTGTTTCGTTCGTTAGTGATAATCATAAATGGTTTGGTTTAAGAATTTGTCTTGAACGAAAAAGAATTATGGGATATCACTGCTGGGTTACAGAGCAACTTAGCCTTTATTCACATGACACGACCCGAAAAATCACTTGTGTGTTCCCTACTTATAAAGTAAAAGATTAAAGTTGTTCGTTCCCTCATCATAAGTCTTATTTGTATTTCATTTTTATTAATTTTCTTTGTATTTTGTGAGTACTATAACATTAATATGTAATTTATTACAGGCTACAGCAAACCCAATATTGATACTTGGGTCCATTACACTTTTTCTTATTTTCTTTAAAAAAAACAAGAATGTCTAATTAAGTATAGTACTGCATAACTAGATTGTTCTAAAATATTTAACCATATATTTTTTCTTATATACTGATTACACAGCATTATTTAGAATGCATATAGATTTTGTATGGATATTTTTTTTTTTTTTGAACGTTTGTATTGCGAGAGAAACGTCTAATCAGAGAAGAGGCATTGAGAGACGATCTCGAGTTTAAAATTTAAAAGACAATCCCTCGTGGTTTGGTTGTTTAAAGTGTACGTAAGTGGTATGATGAACAAAGATCAATTTGGTGCGTTCGTATGTAAGCTCGTGATCGGGAGTAAACAAGGAGACACCCTTGGAAATCAAGGTTAACCTATATATGACTATGTGTCTCTACTTTAGTATAAAAAGAACATGCATCTTGTTAGGTTTAAGGTGGCAATACAAGTGGGACTAAAAGTCACACAACATAATATATTGAGATTAGAGCATGTTTATCTGGAATCCTTAGTGGAGTTCTTGGTGCATAGACCCCCATAAGGATCAGTTATAAAAACTACTAATTAAAAACTGATTTTAATGAGTTTTATACACTGTTTGTGGATTCCGCTTATACGTGACGGTCCGCAATTGATTTGTTTTTTATTTTTTTTAGACAAAGACAAAAATCTAAGGTTTTTTAGAGATAAATATGCTCTTACATTCTCAAGTTCAAGTGCAATTTACAATGATTTACGGCGAGATATAAGTCATGACATAGCGGTTAGATGAACTCACAATGAATCTTGTGTTTTCTTAGAATTGCCCTGAATAGAATTTCAAACAAATCTAGAAACAAACTTTTACAACATAACTTTTAAAATTTGAATACGCCATACACATATTGAAGAAAAAGTCAGATTCTAAATGTTCACTGAATTAGTCAAACATTGAAGAATGAAAAGAAAGAAAATTCGACACAAGCTACACGTAGTAGAATAAGTCATATATATACAACAATGAATTCGAGAGAAATTAGTCAAAGATTGAAAAATGCAAAACGAGAGATAAGAAAAAGAAAGCAATGCAGATTTTGGAACAACCCTACGGAAACCATAGGTTTTAGATTTGGAAGAAAAAAAAGAAAAAAACAAATAAGAAGCAATGTTGTGTCTTGTGAGTTATAAATAATGGTTAAGAGAAACGACTTTTGGAGGATGAAGGAACAGTTATTAATTGAATACCCAAACAGAGATCTCATTACCAACCATGATGTTGTAGCCCACTGTATTTGAGTTTCCTGTGTAGTCAGTATAAGAAATTAATTAAGGAATGTTGGTATTTGATCACTGGAACCACCTTAGCTACTTAATTTACATTTTAGCTATGCAACTAAACCGTTTCAGACAGTTGGTTCAGTCTGATGTATATTCGAAAATGATACTGAAAATAATGTTCAAGGACTTTTGAGATAGAGGTCATAGACTTGTAGTGTATTGATATATATTTTTTTTCGAAACTGAAGTATATTGATATTTTATCGCTCTCTTTTAAAATTTCTAAGTCTTGTACGATATAGAACATGCGAGCTTAATTATAATTGTATTTTTACAAAGAAATTGCTAAGACGCAGGGAAAACAGCAGGAAGCCAACAGTATAATGGAAATGATTAGACATAGACAGCGGGATTAAGACAATATCATCTACCTGATTAACAAAATCAGGCTTTATAGCAAGTAGAGATGATTTAATCATGAAGAATTAATTACTGTAAATGCCACTTTCATTTACCATGTACAAGTGACCCAACACTGTTAGACCATCTCTAATGGGGTATTTAAGAAGGTTGTATCTCATGGTTCTATCTAATTATATGTTCAAAATTAAATCAAAAAGAAAAAATAGATAGATATGGTTTTAAAAATGGAATTTTTGAAACCAATTCTAAAAAAGTTTTATCTCATGATGTCATTTTCTGATTGGTGAAACTTTTGAAACCAAATTTCTCTCTTTTAAAAATTTAGAACTTTTAATTGGTTTTATTATTAGAGAGATTAAAACTAAACAAGTATCTAATTTTTTTAGTTTGTTTACTTTCAATTAAAAACTGATTTAAAATTTTAAGACCATATCTATTTTTTTTTTTTGCTAATTAAGTATCATGATCCCACTGAAGTGGTTTAGACTAGAGATCGAAGCGAGCAAGGACACTGCCAGGGTATCACCAAGTGGCTCACCTATAACGGTCTTCGGTCTCGGATGTTGTAGCCCATATATTAATTCCACTGTGACCAAGATTCGAACCCAAAAACGAACACTCCAGTTGAAGCTCTTTTACCACTAGACCAAAACAACTTGGTTTACCATATCTATTGTTGGAGATGGTCTTAGGACACCCAAACAGTTTTCTACATCAGATAGATAGAAGTAATTTTGATAGAGAAAAATGGTTACTTTTAGATAGCATCGCAAACAATTGGTTCAAATAATTAACAGGACATTGGTGATATATTTGATGATTTATTCTGGATCCTTCTATAGATTTGGGATATCTAATGTGTTAAAAAAAAAAGAGGATCTTATTCGACAGGGCAGTGAGAGTTGATTAAAAATGGTTACAAGTTAACAAACATTTTAGGCTTTGGTATTAAATAATTTATAGGAAATAATACTAAGATGTGATGTGTTCAATTAGTCTCCCACATGTAATGATATGTAAAGATGATTACCTATACGGTTATCTAACGGAAAGCACTTAATTCTTTATTATATAAATATCAATATTAGTGACTTTTTAGCCGCAAAGTCTTTTTTAATTATCTCATAGAATATTTTTAGCTGTGTTTTTTCAAGAGAAAAATGATATTCAAATACAAGTATTAAAATGATGCCAATAATACAAAAGCATGCGGTACGTTAGTTATTTACTCATACTGCTCTCGCTCTCTCTCTTTGGGTGAACTTATCTAGTTTTGGTTGTTGAACTTATATAGTTTTTTTTTAAACATTGAACTTATATAGTTAATATTCAAACCATTGTAGATTGTAATTTTCCCTTTGGCGCAGCACACACATTCTTTACTATATTTGAAAATTTATCATCCTTCTGCTTTATTTGATGTATATTTTTCTTTTCTTATAACGAATTCAATAAGCTATAAAAAGAACGAGAGATAAATAATTAAAAATAAATTCATAAAATAAACAACAGTAGCCACATGTGTGGATATGATATAGAAAAGAAAGACAAAAGATTCCGATCACATCATGATTTGAGTTGGTGCAATGCAACACTAAAAAGCAGATTCCTTTTAAATCAAAATAGCTAGAGAGCACACGGTCTAACACTTCAAGAGATACGTTTGATATTCATATTTTGCTCAAACAGACCAATCAAACAAGCAAGATATATTTACCACATACAATGTTGCTGTATATGCTTGTCTATAAATCACTCCACTATCTGTGATTTGACTTGTCCTTTTGTTTACAATCACTTGCAGCTTCTCAAACCTTTTCTTGTAAAAAACAAAAAAAAAAACTAACACTACAAATTACTCACAAAGCTAACTTAACATGATTTGTTAGGAGAAACCGATCTTTTTTTGTTTCAACGAACAAACTTTTAATTAACTCTTTCTCAACAAACAAGCGTTTAACTTAACTTAAGTGGTAGAAGCTAGAGTGTATCCATCCGAAAAATGAGAAAGACACCCTCAAAAACAATTAAAGAAAATATTAATATAAATATTGAGTGATTCTTAAAATCATGAATATCCATGCAATAATTAAAGAACTCTTTTTAGGATGTTGTTGCTCTTAGTCATGCTTTCAAATCTCCAAATCAGTTATGGTCCTTTTGACTTATTAGGTAAAATAAATAAAATTAATCTTAAGTTACTATTGGTGAAATATTGGTGAGCTTTAGGCGCTCATGGCTAATGGACCTCTCACGGCCCTCGTACACTGGCCCATGGGCCATATCCCGTGCAACAGGCTGTGACAATTTTTCAGAGACTTGAACATCTTGTTTATTAATCATGTAATTTTCACATAATATTTTTTCGTGTTTTTACCTTGTTTATATATTATCACGAATCATTTTCCAATATGTCGATCATTAAAAATATTTTTCAGAATTTTTTCAGGATGTGAACCAAAAAGTATACGCATTTTAGTGATATTGATAGGCAAATCAATTATGTTAGACATTTCACTATATCACAAACGATGATGTTATAATATTCTGTAATTCCATTTCATAATCTCTACAAAAAGTTTCAGAAATCTCAAGCCACCTTTACTTCTGTGGTAACTATTACTAATATCAAATGAACTCAATAGTTAAGACAACGTTTATTTAACCAGAGACTAGTCAGAGTGAAACAAAATATAGTGTTAGTTACCTCCAAATAATTGAGTTTAAGGAATTAATAGAGAGTAATCATTTCTCAGTGAGGTAGGACCTAGGAGATAATATATCAGAGGAGCAAGCAAAGTACAAATTAGGCCCTAAGCAAAGAAGTTGGCCCCTTGATTTAGACCCACCTCCTCAAACTAAGTATTTAGTTCTCTAAATAAATATGTCAACAAAACAATCAATTAGATTCTGTTGTTAATGATGATATAGTGTGCGATGACACCTAAAAAACAAAAGTAATCAATGAGCTAATCTAAACCTATAGGCTTAGCTTCAACAAGTTCTTATATTTGTTTTATATTATAGAGGCTTGAGGTGAAGTTAGGTCAAGCTCAACAACTAATTATATTCTCTATCAAGAATTTAAAGAATACATCTAGAGAGAAGCCACATAACTGAAAGAAGGGCATTCAACAGCTAGACAAATCTCTGAATGCTCTTTTAATACTTTGGGAACACTGACAATGGGAAACACAGCAAACAACAATGTTTAAGTCACATGGTTCCACACTTAAACACTATCACATGCGTTGCAGGATTCTTCACTTCTTTTACTTTGGGAGAAACTATATCAACATAAGTTTGACAGATCATTTACTGGATAACTGTTGAGAGCTGGGAACATTTTATGCATTCGTTGACTAAAAAAATAAAACAGAGTTCGGCCGTTTCACAAGGAAAAAACAGAGCATTTTGCTTTCAGCTATTATGATCCATTAGACAAGTAGAAAAAGGTTAGATTATTTTTCTCAGAAGTTTGCTGCCCAACTCGGATGACCATGTTGAGAAGGAGGAGAGGGCACAACCCCTACACCAACATTACCACCAAGCCCAGGTCCCATGTGGTGCAGATTCGCCATTGTACCAGGCTGTGGTGGGTGGAAGAGACCCTGGAACTGCATTTGAGACGACTGTGTTGCTGCTGCTGCAGGGGAGTTGAAAGATGGATGTGCTGTATGGGATGGTAAGTAAGCACCATGAGCCGTCTGTCCAGCTACGTTGTAATACGGAGGAGAATGAAGGTTTGAAAGATCTCTTGGGTTCTGCATCCAAATCTCAGAAGTCTCAGCCTGTGACCCATAAAGAAACGCAAATCAGAAATAAAGCATAACGGGCGTAAGAAAACATGTTCAAGAGGAACATAACTATCATTACCTGAGGGTTTGGAACGTAAATATTTCCATCTTTGTATTTCATGCGAGATGGATCTTCAAGTCCCATGGCGTTTCCAACTACATTGGGAGAACTAATCTGATAGCCATTAGGACTGTTGTAAGTCCCAAAACCCGCAGGACCACCTGGTACTGGTTTGAATTGCTGGATGCCATACTTAACACCATTTGAACCGGGATGTGAACCACCTCCAGGCATCAGCACATAGCTATTGCCATTTGAAGGGTGTGCATATGCTGCTGGGTTACCTGAGTAGCCTGGCATGGGCATCTGGGGAACATACATTGGGGAGATGAACTGACGGTAAGGCATGAGATTTGGAAAATGCGATACATGAAGTTGCGGGTACATCTGTTGCTGTTGCATTGACGCCTGTTGTTGTTGTTGTTGCTGCTGCAACATGGGAAACGTAGATGAAGGGGCATTGATCACCATGTGAGTGCTTACTGCCTGCTGCATTAGCAAAAGCATAACTGGTTAGTTTTTCTTGGCTACTGAAATGCAAGAGAAGCCTAAATACAACTCATGCTGGCACGCCAGCAACAGAAATTACCTCCTGTTGAGATGGTAATCCTTGTCCTCGTACGTTTTCATCCATTGTCTGACTAAAATACGGGAAGTCGTAACTACCGTGATTACCATATGCCTGCTGGAAAGGGACGTGAGTGTCAGTTTTGAGCAATTGAATTTCCGAGTACTCATCCAAATTGTCAGATTTATGAACCTCCTCTTCAGGCAACAGTTGCTCGGATGGACGTGAGTCAGATTCAGAGATTCTCAGATGATCATCAACAATCTCGATAGGCTTAACCACCAGACCATCAGCTGAAGTCTCTGGAGAAGTACCTGGCGAACTGCAAACAGTATCACTAAGTTACTTGAGGAAATATAAAAGTGATCTTAAACTTTACTTGAGATGTACAAAACCAACTGTCAGAACTTACCTACGATCAGATTCTCTAAGTTCTTCTGAAGAGCATGGTTCCTGGAAAGCAGCAGGTTCTTGAACAAAGCTACCAAAAGTGAGCTGACATCGGTCAGTCTCTGGAAGGCGAATATGATCTGCGATAATGACATTCTGGGTTTCACTGATATGAACATGTGAGAGCTTATCTTGCAACTTAACAGCCTCTGGTTCCAGGTTTGTAATATTATCAGCAGGACGACAAGCCTGAGACTTTATTGGTGTTCCAATTACTCCAGGGTTATGTCCAACGGGTTTCTGAATCGATTTAGGCTTCCACTCCTTGTTTTGTGAGACCCCTGCATCAAGTACAGGTAGATAAAGAATATCAATAGTCATGACAGGAAATGGCTTCTCACCAGGACTAAATATGGATTAAAAAAGGATTATATTAACCAAGTCAAAATAGTACAACATCCATTCAATTCATTAATACTTACACATAAATTACCTTTTGTGTGGCCACCAACTTGTTGTGTTCTAGCATATTGGCTTCCTCTGTTACCACGCTGCCTGTTCAAAAGAGGCCTATTCTTTTCCACACCGCTGGGCAAAACAGACTCTCGTGGAGTAGTTTGGCTGAATTGATCAATCTTTGAATTTGGTGAAGATGATCGATATGCATTTGGAGTCCCAATTTTTGACAAGGCACCAGCAGATGGATCTTTACCAATAGTTTCAGAAGGTTTTCCACCAAAGCCTCCACCTCTTACTTCACGTTTAATAGCTCCCACAGGTGATGATCTAGAAACAGGAGACGGAACATGAACTGGATCTGTGGAAGACGAATATACACCAAGAACTGAATCGGTTAATGGCAAAGTAACACCACGGGATGTCTCCTTTCCATCAGAGAGTTCTTTTCTGGTAGGATGGTGCAATGGAGCAATTTCAGCATCTCTGAGCCTCACATCTGCTGCTGCATTACGATCTTGGGCAAAGCCTTGAGCCCCAGAAGCGTGATGATTGCCTAAACCACCTATTGAGCTGGCAAACAATGAAAATAGAGCGACAATCTTATTTTTCTCATCTAATCAAGCATAGTTTTCTCTTGAAATTATAAGATAGCGAGTCCTCGGTGGGCTCTCTGTTTCTAAGAAGTAACATGTTTAAGGGAGACTAAAACTGCAGTAGGATGCCTATCAAGTGAACTGTGAACATAAGCATTACTGTCTCCGTTTACCAAATCCAATGCTAAAATGCATGCCTCTTATTGTCTTATAGAGTCTTACTTTACTTATCTTTTGGAATAGTACAGCTACAGAGACATAACTCCCTACTAGAAGTAGTAAAATAATCATTAAAGAGTATCATGCTATTGAACATGTACAAAGAATAAAACAAGGCAAGCCAGCGACAGAACAGGCTAGAATAAGAGGATCAAGATACTGGTACAATTGATGAAACATACCCTTTTTTGTTCTCAGTGGCCACTACCTTGCTAATATTTGATCCAGAAGAATGCTTCAACTCTTCATCAACATTTGGATTAGACCTGTTGTCTCTAACAACACGAAACTCTCTCTTGGATCCTGCACTAACATGAAACAAAACAAATTCAGACATACAAAACATCATGTGTAGATGAATACGGTCAATACATAACATGAAACTTGCAGTCCTCACGCCAATCACAAAGATTAAAAAAATCAATAAAATTCAATACATGCATTACTTGACCATCATGTTTCATTTTTCTGCAACTCAAACAAGTCTTAACGGATTGTGACACAGGGACAACGAGAAAAGTATATTATCATCACATTCAATTACCAGTAGCAGGATTTCTCGGAAATGCATTTCGCGGAGCAGCGTTCCTAGGGAAGACATTCCTACCGTAGCCTCCTCTCCGAACATTATGTTCAGGCTGTGTATGAACTTTAACTTCATTGCCAACACTTTCAAGAGGTTTCCTAGGAAATGCATTTTGTGGAGCCGCGTTCCTAGGGAAGACATTCCTACTGTAGCCTCCTCTCCGAACATTATGTTCAGGCTGTGTCCGAACTTTCACTTCACTGGTAACATTTTCAAGAGGCTTTTTTACGGTGGCAGGCTCAACCAGTACTACTTCCTAAAAAAAAAAAATCAGAGTTTACAGACAGGACATATGTTTGCAAGACCCTTCTCACACCGAAAGCGAATCTCCAAATTGAAACCCGAAAACATAAAAGAAGGACCCTATTGATCACTAAGGATCCAGCAAACTATCTGAATGGAAAGAAAAGTCAAAAAAAATTCATCCACCAGTTAGAAGCCACACGACAAAATACGAAATTTCATAATAAGGATGAATGGAATGTCCACTAAACACAACAACAAAAATTTAGCAAACGTAGAACACCCGATGAGCACTACAAGCACAATGAACAACAGCAACAAAGTCCCCTTTGTTTGTGAACTTACCTCTTTCTTCCTGTCTTTTCTTCTCTTCACCTCGTGGAATGGATCTGAACAAAAAGTTAAAAAGGCTTTAAGCAAACCAAAAAAAAAAACAATGAAAATAGTAACACAACTACTTATAACATTATTTTACAAATAGCACAAGCAGAATAAACAGAACAAGAAACCAAACAATTTTCAGAATCATCCCACCAATCAAATTACTAACCAAAAAAAAACTCAGCAAAGATAAAGACCCCAAAAAAAAAAAAATCAAAACTTTACAAACAATACGTGGTCACATTTCTTGTGATCACTATAAAAGGAGAGACCTTGATGAATCAGCTTCTGAACAGCCTCGTGGGCGTCCATGTTAGATTCTTTCAAAGCGGTGTAGATATCTGCGTCGGAGTGATTACCCACGATTTCTCTTATCGATTCGATCATCTTTCTCTCTTCTTCGTCTTCCTCGGGTCCCCTCATCACCCGATTACCGGTTTTGGACTCAGACAACATTACCGATCAAAGATCGTATCGGATTAATCGGAAAAACAGAGGATCGGTTTATGAGTATTCTGGCAAAACGAATTAGGATTCGGGGAAGTGAGATTGTTGGTAGTGATTCGAGTCTTAAACCCTAAATTCAGAAACAGCGCTCGCTCTTAGGGTTTTTGAATACGGAGAAGAAGAAACACGGGGAGAAGAAGTCGTTGCCACGTGTCAAGAGAATAGGGAATATTAGAAACTGGATAGACGGAAAAGGACTAATTTATCCTTATAGATAATCATTAGCAGTGTGTTTATTTATTAATCTAGTGTTTTAAAATTGTTTCAAGTGATTTATAAAAAAAAGGAAAAATTGTTTTTATTCAACAATAAGTTTGTTTAAAAATATGTTATTGTTGTTCAAAACAAAATCAGTGTTATTAAATTTGTTATCTTCAAAATTATTTTAAACTGTGAATATTATTAATTTTAGTAGTTTAGTGATAAATCCAAATCTTATGATTTAGCTAAGATAATGCACAACTATTAAAAAAACTTATTTTTAATTTTAAAAGTGAGTTTAAAATATAAATATAAAACTGTTTAACCAATTACAAAATAGACTACAAAAATATCATTGGTTACATAGTGTTTGATAAAGTTAAAATTACATTGAAATATAAAAACATCATCTATTTTAAACATCAAAAACTTTATTAAATATCATCTATTTTGAGGTGGAAGTAGTATAATTCTCCAATTCATATGTTGTGAAGTGAGCATATAGTTGCATATGAATTATCTCAAACCAAAAGTTGTATTCCATCAAATGCATAGCTGTTCTACACCTAAGTAAAACATTTGAAAACTAAAAATAAAATAAATAAAAAGTGTTTTAGTTTGGCTATGTCAGATTCTTCTTGCAGAGAGACAGACAGAGAGAGAGCATCACAGCAAGTACTGATGTTGTATCCGAGCTCTGTTCTCTTCCCACCACAATCTTGCTTTCGTTTCTCCAAACCTCTCTCGGCTACAACAACAAACATCAAGAGAAAGCATATGTTGTGTCAAGTACTTTCTTAGCAACAGAAATGGTAATGCTTTTGTTTTTTTTTTACCTAAAGCGAACACGTCTAAGCTCACGACTTCCATCTGGTAAAGCTCTGATTGTTATGTAAACACCGTCTTCGTCTTGTTCTACCCATTCTGTTTCCATCTCACTTCCATTACTTACTGAAACATCCTCTGAATAATCTTCTTCCTCTTCTTCCCTAGATGAGCCACTACTTCTTCCAGACATATCAACCGATGATGTCTCGGTTTTGATCACACTTACGCCAGAGAGTTTTGGTGTCGTTGCAAGACCAGACGAATCACGGTACCGAGTTTGTGTTTGTGTTGTTGGTTGATGAGAGAGTGAGCCTTGACATTCTTTGTGTAATGGTGGGGTTGCAGGACTGTTCTTGATAGAGGTCTAGTAACAAAAAAGAAAAGAAAATGGTTCTAGTTAGACTCATTAATGTGTCCATCAGAATCAAATACAGAGCTAATTAAGTTGGATCTAGAAGGAGGAGTTGGAACCGGGACACTCTGCTGATTAAGTTGCTGCACATTGTATAACTCCATGACCTTCTCAAAATTCTCTCCCCACCATTTTTGAGCTTCCCATTTATCAAACATCTCACGGCTGGTAAGCAAGTAGACATTTGAAGAAGAAGAAAAAAAGATCAACAACCAAGTAAACAGTGTTATGTTCTAAGCATCAATAAACTCTTAGAGATATCAATCAATGTAGAGCTTAAAGTGTCTCTTCTTTAATGAGACCATGAAGAAAGAAAGTTAGCTAGATCTTGCTGCTTTCACTAAAGTTGCCTAAACATAAATCTAATATTTAATATCAACTATTCTTCTTCATAAGCTTGTCCTTATGAAACACACATTCTCTATCTCTCCAAAGTCAAATTAAGAACATAATATGCATTAAAGTTCATCTCTAGGGTCATAAACACACAGATACATTACCTGAACCGGATCCGTTTGAGATCATTCCCTCCCTCAGGCAATGAAACAAAAGTGATGAGGACACCAGGCTCCACTTGAGCAACCCATTCTTTAACCTCATCTTCTTCCTCCTCCTCAATGAACAATGTGGACTCTGTCCTACCACTAATGGATTCAGGTGTGCCTTCTCCACTCAAAAGCCCTTTCAGCCTTGACTCCATTTCTTTCCCTAGAATCTTAGGCGTTGAGCTTCCGCTTATAGGTCTCTTGTATGCATAATGAAACCTCCCTGAAGCATCTGAGTCACGGTGGTTCCGGTTTAAAGACCCTGAACACGGTTTGCAGCTTTTGTAAGCACCTGATGCTTTTATCGCCATGTCTTTTATCTGAAAGATTAATTTCACGACAAGACTTACACACGGTTCTGTCTCAAAAAAAAAGAAAAAAAGCTTGTGAAAGTGACATTAAATAAAGTTGAAATTTTTATCTACTTGTGACGTCAAGGACTTGATCTTCTGCTTAGACGTAGGTGTTCCAAGAACTCTGTCGTCTTCTTCTTTAGATCCGACATTGTTGGTGTTGGAGCAAGCTATGCACGTGAGCATCTCTCTCTGTTTCTATCTCACACTCCTCTCCACGAAGCTTCCTGATTATTAAAGCCTGGAGATATAAGAAACCCATTAAACCAGTTTCTCAAATCTAAAACCTTTTTTAGAGAAAACAGAATAAAAGACTAAACCTTTACGCTTACATTTACACACACTCGCAGCTAGCTAAATTTTGATTGCTTTTCTGAACTCATTTAACACTACCACTAAAGAAGGTTGGTCGGGGAAGGAGGAGAAACCGTTACGCTAACGGAAGATTAGGACAGAGGATCTAAAGATCACAGAGAGTTAGGAACGGTTCTGCGTTTTAAAAAGAAAAAAACTCTGTTTGGATCCGTTCTTTGCGGAGTGAAGATTTTTTTGACTGTGTGAGAATGAACGAGAGACACTTTCTGAAATGCGAATCCGAGTTCACAAGTAACATGCGAGAAAAGGGGTTTGAGAGAGAGAGAGAGACTTTGAGATCGTTGGACACTGCGAAAGTTTGCACACAAGTGGTGTTTTGCGTTCCTACTTCTTCCTTTATATATTACACAAAAAAAGCTCTACAGCTTTTAATTACTTAATATCTGAGATTTGCCAAGTTTGTGTTTCGAAAAAAGAAAAAGAGAGATTTGCCAAGTTTGATATATCTATGTTTTGTTCTTCTTTAACGTCTATTTTATGTTTAGTTTTAAATATATTTTAAAATAAATAAATAGTAACCATGCAGTTTTAAAAGTAAGTTTTAAAGCTTTACTTGGTTTTCAATAGTCTTGTTATTTTATACTGCATTTTCTTATACATTGAAAGCTGAAACTAAGTTGATAAAAAAAAGGAAAAAAGAAAGATGAAACTACACTTTATTTAGTTTATGTGTTTACTCAAGCATCTATATTATTAAAAGAGAAATACCAATAAGAAAAAACCCTTAATTTTATTAGTTATTTGCAATAGAATGCCATTAGAATATTTATTGAACATATATTTAATCATATTTGTCTTTTCCTAATTTAAATAATAGATTTATGTATTTAATATATTTTCATAGTTTAAATAATAGGTTTCCTTAGTCAAATATTAAGCAAAATAAATATCCTAATATATTTGGTATTAACATATTAAATATTTTAATATTTATTAGTAAGAGATAATATGTTATTTTTCTTTAAGATATTATAGAATTTATAGTTCTACTTATGTTTATATATTTTAAGTAGTTATAATTTTATTTTATTTTTGTTTTTAAGGGATGATAAGATTTTGGAATTGGAAAATTATGACCCACCTCTATATTATTTTAATTAATAAATTTAAAATTAATATGAGAATATTTTATTAAATTTTTAATTTAAATTATTATAACTGTAAAGATTAATTTTCAATAAATTTTATGTTTAAATATTATAAATATATCATTTAATATAAACAAAAACATAAAATAAATATCCGTCCGGTCGGGCGGGTCAAGGTCTAGTATATCGTATGGAGAGAACACAAAATCATATTAAAGATAAGTAAGTACACAGCAGCCTAATTACTTGGAAAAAATATTAATAATAGAAAATTAGAAATCTTGGAAAAAATGTACTGCTTGGAAATGTGAAAGAAACAGGACCAAGAAAATTCAAATTGTTATTTTTATATCCTTTTTTCTTTATCCGATTGTTTCCTTTTTAAAGTTAAAGAATAATATTGATTGCTTTTTTTTGCCCAAAAAAAATAGATATTGATTGCTTTTTTAGGTTTGATTTATATAGGGGAAATAGAGCTATGTAGCCGTGTGCAAAACATCCACGCCGTGTTCAGATTGACACGTGCAACACTGAATGATTCTGGCTGTCTGATTTTGCACCCATGAAAAGAAAAAGGAAACCAAAATGCAAAAGAGAAACAAAAGTAATCTAGTATATGTTTTACTATCAATTTTTCTCAATGGAAAATATTTAAAATAATTCAAGACAGTCACTTTGGGGAATGCTTTGACATAATAATGGTTAAGATTACTACTTTTATATGCCATAATTTCAAATTCATCCACCATTCAAAGGAATATGCAAAACCAAAAAAAACAAGAGAAATTACGAGTATGTATGCATTATATATGTCAGAATATCATATGGTACAGAAGCGCCGTGAAGCAACGGGCGAGAATTAACTACACTGTTGATTTTTTTTACCTTTACACCATTTTAAAATTTTCAAAATTTAATATTTTAGTCTTTCTATTTGGCAAAAAGTGTTTTTATTAATTTATTACTTTATATATTTCATTTTCACCACCGAGTAAAGACAGCTTAAAACAATACTTATTCGATTAAGCAAACGAAAAAAAAATAGCAATGAATGATCAGATCGGATACTGAAAATACTATTAAATTTTTTTACCTTGCCACGTGAAAGATCTCTGTTTTCTCTTTGTTTTATACAGTGTTTTTTTTTTTGTTGCTTCTCTTTCCTTTTTAATGTCTTCAGCTGATCAATCTTTGTTCTTATATAGCTACAAGCCTACACCTATATTAGCTCCCATATTAATATGACGTATCTGTTATAAGTAAAACACTTCACAGAGTCACAATGATCTCTGTATTTTGGGACCAAATTATGTTCTCTCACACGTCATGTATCTAAATAATTTACATTTGGTAGTTAAGTGTCATTTACTAGTATTCAAAAGTCAAAACTATATGTTGCATGTCTGAATTGTAATTTAGTTACAATTTGTTTTTTGTTAACTGTGCAGATTCAAATTTATTATTCTCTTGAATACTTTTTATGCGCCACCCTCCCTCAGTCCCCCACACAATTTTTTTTGTCCGAGCCATTTAACAAAAAATACAAGTACATGACATTTTATTCATGCGTCGGTGTTGGAGTGGTGATAAATGTCGGATGATTAAGTTGAAGATGATTTCTCCTACTTAATACCTATGATCATTAGTAGGAATGATTCCTGGCTTTATGAGTGACAAGTACTATACTGCACCTTCGAACCTAAAAAGGGCATAAAGTGAGATTAACCCCAAAAACAGGTCATGATGAGACATGTAATTCAAGCTTGTTACAATAATAAATCAACTAATGATTTTAAACTTTATAGTCGTTTTCCAACTAAGCCTATCAATACTTTTTGCACCCTCCCCCACCTTTCTGTCTCCTTCAAGGCTTAAAAGTACTTCATTCTAAAAACCATTTATAAACCAATTTAAACATTAACCACATTGTAAAGCGAACCCTTCGCTTTACAAAGTTCATTTCAAAATATGCTTAATGCTTTGATAAATCTCTTTATTCTTGTTAATTTCTTTCACAAAAGATAAATGATTTTAAACCAATTTCAAATAATTCACCAATTTAAACATTAACAACATTGTTAAGACGCAGCCATATGGTGAGCACAAAGCAAACTATTCTTTCGTCTTTTACTGAAAAAAAAAAAAAAACAACATTGTTAAGGAACCATTCGCTTTACAAAGTTCATTTCAAAATATGCTTAATGCTTTGATAAATCTCTTTATTCTTGTTAATTTCTTTCACAAAAGATAAATTATAATCGAAGAATTGACTACTTTATATATGTGTTAAAAGATGTAGAACACTTCTTTTATTTCTTTTTAGTCTAAAAGCATTGCATAAATGATAAATCAGACGTTCTTAATGGCTAAGGTAAATAAAAGAAGACAAATAAATGAACAACCACAAAGTTGGGTCCAAATTCAGTTAATAACCGACGCTGAGCCCATTAATCTCAGGGCCCAAATACTTAATAGCCCGCTCAAATCCAAACCGCCACAGAAAGAAAGAGACCACGTTAGTTTACCATGTACCTCTCCGTAGCTGATTATCCCCAATACATCGATCTGTGCCGTGCAGCTCTCCCCTCTTTTCATCAATTTTGCTTCTCGCAATCAGGCTCCGATCATTGTCTCCCGAATCGTTCACCGTCACTCTCTCCCCCGCGAATCTCACCTCTCCACGAAACCCTAACTCGCTGTGTTTCGAGCTCGTCCTTCTTTCGGAGCATTCGTTTATAAGCGTGACGGCGAGTTAGTTTCCGGATCGGGATTGATATTTTTTGAGGTAATGAATGATCTTACAGCTCTGGATTTGTAATCTTTTATCTCTGATTCTTTGTTATTTCGCGTTATCGAGGTAGATTTGGTGGATTTGGTGATTCAGGTGGTTGATTTAGGGTTTTGGTTTAACTGGAATACGTAGTTTAAGCTCGATTACGTTGGAGATATCTTTAATTGAGTGCTGGTGCTATGATTAGTTCAAGCTCGATTACGTTGGAGATCTCTTTAATTGAGTCTTGAACATCAGGCTAGTGATTCTTGTACATGATATGTGCTGTTGTTTGAATAGATCGTTCATGGATTTAGATGTAACTTTGTTTGAGCAGTTTCATATGTGGAAACTTAACTATAAATCGATTCATGTGCACCAAGAGTTCATATTGGTATGGTACTCATTGCACTTTCAGACCTAAATATAAAAACTAGCGAAAATCTTGTTTTAAGTAAACTATCTTTAGTTTTCTTTAACTGCCTTCCCTTGTTCGTTTCAACAGTTTCGGCGCTGCGATGAATATGCAACCTGGTTATGCGTCTAAGTCTTCAACAAATGGATCTCAATACATGAGAGGTGAAAGAGAGGGAGTTTCGAATAAGGCGAAGTCTACAAAGTCACATCCCGCTAATACACTAAATGCAGGTTAGCTGTTGTTTAACTCTGTGATTTATTTGCGACGTGACGTCATGTTCTGAGTTGTTACGCTTGTTAATATATATTTCAGTATCCAATGGGGAAGCTGGGAGTTTAAAGGGGCATCTAGGCGATGGTTTAGTGTACCTCACAACATGTAAGATTGGGCATACTGTGGAAGTGCATTTAAAAAACGGATCGGTTTATAGTGGGATATTCCATGCTGCTGATGTGGAGAAGGATTTTGGTGAGGCTCTGAATCAGAATTTCTTTTGTTTTTCCCTTACATATGTGAATGTGAATCATAGTGACACATTATTATTTCTTGCCCTTCTATAAAATTTCTTTGAACTTGCAGGAATCATTCTAAAGATGGCATCCATGATTAAAGATGGTGGTGTACGAGGGCATAAATCCCGTCCCGAGTTTGTCAGAAAGCCACCTTCCAAGACATTAATTATTCCTGCTAATGAACTTGTGCAAGTTATAGCTAAGGTATGCTTGCTTTTATTAGTTAGAGGCGAACTTTTTTCTCTTTAAGTTTATGTCAATGCGTTACATGGCACTATGGCAGGGACATTACGTTGAGATTTCACATTTTAATTCCTTATATCATTGATGTTTGTGTTAGGATCTCTCCATATCCAGTGACGGTATGTCGAATGCCGTTCAGAGTGAGAAGCCAGGGGAGCTGTTGACGGACTCTTCTATATCAAAATCGTTTCTTGTTGACCAGGGAAGAGAGCTTCAACCCTGGATACCTGATGGGGATGTTCCTCAGGGTCTGGATAATGTGTTTGATGATCCTTGGAAAAGGTATATCTATACATATTTGAATTTCTTGCAATTATTTATTGGATATGATTTGTTAGCCCGATCCTTAGACCATGTTTTGTTAGCTGAACAATGTATGCGAGGGAATGGTGGGAACGGATATAATATTTGTTGTGGTTTCACTATTTACTGATTATGATATTCCTTTTGGATACCTATGATCCTTCTATCTCTCTGTTGAGCTAGATTTTTTATTTAGTTAAATCATATAGTATATTGTGGGGAAGAGCCTTGGTTAACCGTTAATGTCCCTAAGTTTATGAAGACTATTGTTTCCATATCGCTCATAACATGACTATTTACGGTAAGTATGCTCAGCTGATACGTTTCTGTTTGTAGGGGTAGGGGATGGGATCAGTTTAAGGTGAATGAGTCACTGTTTGGAGTGAAGAGCACTTTCGATGAGGAAATCTATACAACAAAACTTGACAGAGGTATTCGGACTAGAGAGCTGGAAGAGAGAGCCCAGAGGATTGCGAGAGAGATTGAGGGTGAAAATACCCGAGATCTTCATGTAGCAGAGGTGATTTTTGGCGGTTTTATTTGCACAGCCTGATCCCTACGTTTTTGTTGTTATTATATAAATGCAGATTTCGAATTGTTCATGGCTGCAGGAAAGAGGCTTTCAGCTTAATGGGAAATTTGATATTGACGAGGAATCTAAATACTCAGCTGTCCTTCCTGTTGATTCATTTGATGATAGTGGGTTTGATGAGGAGGACGACAAATCGCTGGACACTTGCAATGATGAGACATTTGGTGGTCCATCTACTTCTACTGTCCAGAAGCCAGCTTCTTTTAGTGGGCAGAAGCCAACTTCTTCTAGTGGCAAGGGATATGAAGAATTAAGGGTACGGTTGAATTCTTTTTTGATAATAGTTTTTAGCAGGACAATTGTTGATATCAACATCCATTTTTATTCAGGATGCCAGTCAGCCTTCTCGGAATAATACAAATGTAGATCAAAGCTGCTCAAAATCTGATGACCACGCTCAGCACCATTCTTCTGAACAGCGATCCAAAGATTTTCCTGCTCCAGGCAGCAGTATCAGGTCATTTTTTTGCCATCAGCTTTATGGACTATTAAATCATCTAAAAACTTCTCTCACATAAGGTGTTTCTCTTGACAAAACAGTGAGAGTCAGTTGGGTGAGCGAAGAAACAAGAATAATTCAGAGTTTTCACACAGTAACAAAGTAAATTCACTTCTATGTTGATTATGCGTGTTTAATCAATGATTACGTTTGGCAATTAAATCTTGTTCTATTGTTGTTTAACATTGGTTTGTTGGCTTTCCTTTCTATTAACAGTCAGCTGAGGAATCAGTTTCTGGTCATGGAGGTATACGCTACTTCTTTCTTGCTCTTTTTCTATATTTGTTTATCCGCTTGAACAATTTTATGCGTAGGGAAGTCTGAACTTGTTTTCCTGTTCTACACGTAAAAATGCGTTTTCATTTTTACAAGCACGGCTCACGTTTTTCACTCGGCCTGACACTAATATTTATATACACATTTATCTCAACTGACTATGTAGTGGAGGTCAATAAAATTCCACTGATGGTGGACTCTTTTCAAGTCGTCAAATAGAATCTAGAAAAAAGTTAAATTTTGTATACAGGCAGTGCTTACCTGTCATTGAACTTCTACCTAATGAGGAAACCAAGTCGTAGGCGTAAGTGTTAAGAATATATTGTGTGTTTGGAATGTAGATACCAAAGAAGGTGCGAAACTTGGTGGTAGTGGTGGAACCTCGGCGTGGAAGACTGTAGCTGAGAAAGAAAAGCAAGTCGGTGAAGTTTCTGGTAAACCAAAATCTGAAAGCTTTGCTGGGCAGTCGGCTTCTAGAAGAAGCTCAGAAAGCCGCCCAGCTCCTTCGACATCAAGTCGTCCTGGACTATCACCAAGCTCGTCAATTGGTTCTTTGTCATCCTCAGAAAAGTCCACTCTCAATCCGAATGCAAAGGTTATTTTTATATGATTTGTCCAAACTTGATATAGTGTTTTATTGTTATCTTTTTTTAACTAATCAAAGAGTCGTTGGGTGTGATCAGGAATTCAAACTGAATCCAAACGCAAAGAGTTTCAAACCAACAGCTGCTGCGAGGCCTCAATCTCCAATGGCAGATACCTCATTCTACTACCCTGCTGCACCTGCACCTGTTCAGCAGATGCCTGGAATGCCTCTTGGTTACGGAGTAAGTCGTTCATGGTGTTTGTATGTATACAACCTAAATTCATACTCAGAAAACGAAACAAAAAAGTCTCTAAAACTCACATGTACAAAAATTTGCAGATTCAACCGCAATATCCAGGACAGCAGCAGATGATTTATTATCCTGGCCACCAGCATCCTCAAGCCTTTTATCCTCCAAATGCACAACCCCAGGTATGATGACACTAAAATAACACAAAACCCCTACCTTATTAATAACCATCACTATTCATAAAAAAAAAAGTCATTCAAATTAAAAAAGAACAAGTCTAATGATGGTGGGGACTGTGATGTTTTAGTATCCGCAGCAGCAGCAGCCAATGATGCTTGGTCGTCAGCCTAGGCCACAAATGGTTTACATGCCACCTCCTCCGTTTCAGCAGGTTATTGCCATCTCCCCTCTTCTTTTTTTTTGTATTTATTTTATATATGTATATTCGTAGTGTTAAGCTTGTTGTTGGATATTTAGAGATCTCTCTGTTTCTTTTTTACAGGAAAATCCATATAATCAAGGACGAGAGTAATATTACCCGATGGTGATGATGTTGTCTTTTTTTTTTGTTTGTTTGGGAAGGATGTGAACGAACCAACCCTCTGTTTTGGCTTACGTTCTCTTCCTTGGCCAATTACTGGAACTTTTTTCTCCTTTTTAAGATTCCTGGTCGGATTTTTATCTCATTTTAGAAAAACAAAAAAAAAGACTATCTGTTTGTAATGTATTGTATTCTGAGGATATACATATTTTAGAGTTTAGGTCTTTCTCTTGTGTCATCACTGAGTCGTTCGCATTTTTGTCTGTGTTTGTGTGCTTTTTTTTTTGTTTGATACGCTTGTTGCTTGTTCAATTTCTAGGTGAACTTTAGTTTCTAAAATCAAATACTTGTGATTGGTTTAAAAGGAAAAAAAAGATACATACGAAGAATTTAAGAGCAGGGTCTTTTTATGTATTGTTGTAACCACAAAAACATACGTGATTTTTGTTGATTTGATGTTGGGCATGTTTCATTTAGTAAGACGTTAAACGTTGCTATCCATAGCTGGTCTCTAGAGAGATGATAATAATGAACATGATGTTGTGGGTATGTCGTTGAGTCTATTTGGTGGGCAGCAAAAACTTTGTCTAAGATTCGACAAAGAAGGAAAGAATCATACCTAATTTAGCTGCTGCATATATAATTTTCTTGCAATAGTGTTGAGCCATTTGTGTTTTTTTTCCTTTTCTTTTTGATGATTCTCACTCAACATCTAAAAACCAAATTTCCCTTTTCCATGTACAAATTCCATTGTCTTTTCAAGTGGAGATTCTAGCAGTCGCTCAGTGTTTATGAATTATGATTGCTCACCAATCTTCATCTATAACTAACCTACGAGTATTTTTTTACACTAAATGGGAAGAAAAGGACTCTGCTCTTTGCTGGCTTTTGATTGATTGCGTCATTAAGAGATGATGTCAACTTCCACCAAGACTTTTGCTTTAAGTTTTTTAAAATCTACTGTTATTCGGCATAGTTGGTATGGTGAATTGGTATTGGACAATTGGTTTAAATCTATTCAACTAGTTTGTTTAATTATTGATCTTAATAAGTAAGTAGTATGTAAAAAAGCATATAGAAAACCCAAAAACTCCGACAAAAACTTGGGAGTATGAACAACGACAAAGGACAAACGAAAAGGAAGTGAAGTGTCTATATGTTGCTTGTGAGATTGCTAAACACCGGACGTGATAGTCACGCGAGATCGAGAAGCGCGTGGATTTAGAATAGTAATATGGCGGCTGCGAATAAAATATATTTCAGACAACTTTTTTTTCTTATTCTCATTACATTATTTACCACATCAGAATCCAACTTTATACAATTAGTTTAGTCTCTTTCTTCCAAGTGTTTGTACTTCAAAAGACTTAACTTACTCCTATTATTTTCTCGGACAAAGATTTAAGATTTATAAAGAGTTCACTATAAAATTGCTAAATTATTTTATTTGGTTTAGGAATAAAACAAAAGGAAGATAAGAGTGGCCAATAATGTATAGAAAGAATAATGTTAATATTGATGTAACTATTGTCAGCTAAAAGGTAGTGTTTCTTGACAGTGAATTAGTGGTGGAGAGTTGGTATTGCCGAAGAGAAATAAAAGTGAGGTAAAGCTTTCCTCTTTAGCCAATAATACTCAATATTCAGAGACAGTGAAAGAATTCAAAAGAAAGAAAGAAAGAAACCATGTTTTGAGGAAGGAGACATGCATCATCTCAACCTCACATGATTTATATTTTTGACCACCTTGTACTCTGCTTTGAGAGGGAAACAACCCCATTTTTGGGTGATTGGTAGGTAAATAAACGCTTTGTTTGTCTTTTTTTTTTTTGTATTTGTTCTGTTTTTTTTTCTCATGTTTTTCTTTTGAACTGGATCATTAAAGTTGGAAGGAATTTTGATATATAGTTCCAGGAATCTCTGTGATTGGTATTTGCATGTTCTTGCTTTTTTTTCTGAACGTTTCAATGATTTGATCTGATTTGTTTGTTCGTCGATTATCAAATTCAGAATCTTTGCTTCCCTACTTAGTTTCATCATCGGATCTGATGTTTTCCATTCTTAATTTTCTTTAGATCTGTTGTTCTTTCTTTGAATCAAGAACTGTTTAAAGATTCGTTCCATTTGACTTATGACTAGTTATTTATACTTTACTTGGTTATAATTGTCTCTTTTCATGGATCTACTATGGTATAGCTTATTGAAATAACGTTTCAGACAATGCTTGAGCTCCATAGCAAAGATTCATTGTCTCGTCCTACAACTTCTTGGGGAAACTCCATGTTCACTAACTCAAACGTCCAAGGATCAGTATCATCATCCATGACCGACAACAACAACAACAACACTTTAAACTTGACGATGGAGATGATGTCTACCTATTTTCCAGGGATGAAACAAACTGGTTTACCATTGCAGAACCATGATGATTCTTCCTCTACACTATCCACTGGAGGAGGAGAATCATCTGGTGACGTTGCAGGTTTTGGGGGACATACTAGTAATCGTTATGGCCACAACATTGTTACCCATCTCTCAGGTTCAACTTGCAAATCTTACTTGCACAACATGCATTTGTAATGTTAAAATAAATAAGCAATCCAAATGTTAGAATAAATAAGCAAATCCAAGTTTCATGGGATATTAGACCAAATAAAATTTTAATATATAAATCTGGTCCAACTCTATTAAGTATCAGACATTTTGTAGAGAAACCGACCCAAGAACAAATTCGTGAGAGTTTAAGCTCAATGCGAACAAGATTATACTTAAGCGAGGGGTTGGACATCTTGTATCTGGCTCTATTTGAGCATCTAGTTTTGGACGCAGGTTATCCTAGTGGAAGTCATCCAAAATCAATCGTGTCGAAGGTTTCTCAAAACTCAGTGGTTCCTCCAACTATAGAGGTTAATATCTACCAATCATCTTTGACCTTATTATAAATGTTGTAATTACAAAACTAATGACGTCTAGTTTTTCTATACATTTAGGCTTCTTGGTCTCTACATGGCAATGGCTTCATGTCTTTTCCATATGCATCACAACACACGGTAATACACAATGATTGATTACACACATGATAGTGTTGTTTTTGAATCTTATCGAACAATTTTGTTTATGGAAATATTGTTAGGTTCTGCAGCATCCACAAGCTAGATTGCTTCTGCCTCACAACATTCCAGAGAACGAACCAGTTTTCGTCAATGCCAAACAATACCAAGCCATTCTCCGTCGCAGGGAGCGCCGTGCAAAGCTTGAAGCTCAGAACAAGCTCATCAAAGTCCGTAAAGTATGGTTACTACCTCTATAACTAAAACACAAGTTTCAAAGGTTTATGTCTAAAGAGAGTAACTTGTCTATATAATATTGCAGCCATACCTTCACGAGTCTCGCCACCTTCATGCGTTAAAGAGAGCTAGAGGCTCTGGTGGACGTTTCCTCAACAAAAACAAGATCCAAGAATCGAAATCTCCAACACTCTTGTCCCCACCACATTTATTCAAGAACCCTAAGGGAAAGTTCAAGCAAAGGGACATGTCGAGCGTTGGGGGCGGGTCTAGTGGCTCGAACAACGACGACAACATGTTCCAACAAAACCCACAATTAAGGTTCTCAGGTTATCCATCAAACCACCATGTCTCAGTTCTCATGTGACAATAGTTGTGTTGATGAGAGACCATGACGGGAAGTCATCCTTGGCTATTACTGATCTCCATAAAAGTGTGTTATATCTTTTAAGTTTGCTTTTTTTTTTGCAATCTCTACTGCAAAACAAAGTTGAAAATCTTTCAACCAGTGTGTATGTTCTGTTCTTTTCTTTTCTTTTATGGGATTTTTTGTTTGTGTGTTGTTTGGATTGTTTTTTTTTCTTTTGTAAAAATGTTGTTTGGATTGTTGATACTTGGTTTGAACTTAATAGTTCTGAACCTACATGGATTGTGATTAATGTAATGTATAAAATCTGTATAAAACCATTGTTGTGTATACAAATAATCATTACTATATGTACATACATGGACTAGTTAACAATCAGAGAGAACTCATCAGCTTCCCCATCTGACTATTGTTGATGATGTTTGACTACAATGGCAGAATAAAGACTACATTTTCAAATTGAATTAGCTAGGAAAAAATGTTCGGTTCACGCAAATCGGTTAGTTTTGGTTTAGGATCAATGTAGAGAATAAGAGAAGGTCACAAATGATGGAATGTGATTTGAGTAAGAAGCAAAGAAGTATTAGGGTTCTGTGTCAGCCATGACGTATTATGTGGAACTGTTTGCGCTGCTGTTTACTCTTCTTCACACGTATATCATTCCGGTTATCTCTTAACCGAGAAAATACAACCCGCTTTGGATTGACTTTAATGGACTGGACTGAAAAACATTTTGAGTTTATAAACCCCAATGATTTTTCTCTTCTTTACATTTTTGAACTCAAAAAGTTTTTGTCAAATGTCCCGATATTCAGTTTTAGAACAGACAACGATTTTGTTACTTTCAAACACATTAGATTTTAAAACGTTTAACAAAACCATACTAACTCTCAGAGTTTGAATCTCTGCTTTGCAAGAATTATTTACGTTCGTTACAGAATTTTCATGCTAATTAAAATAATATATATATTCATTATGTTTTATTTCCAGCAAATTGATGTTTAGTATGTGTTGTGTATTTCACATGCAGTATGTGTTTCTTGCTGACCGAAAATAAAAGATTATATATAGATGTTAAGCAAAAGCTAAACTAAAAACAAACTGAATAAGATTGAGAGAAAAACAAGGCATAAAACCTTAGTTGCGAGAGTGGTTGTGGCTAGCAGAAGTTCCACCTCGGCCACAAGGACCACGCTTCCACGACTTTTAACTCTTGTCCATTCTATATCTATAGAACTTTCTGTGTACATTTAGTTGGCCCTGAAGGCCTCATAGTTTCCTTAGAAGTTTGAAAGATCAAAAACATTTCCACCATAAGAACATACATATCCTGTAAGTCAATGCCTAAAATCGGAATTGTTAACTAATTTGCTATACTTATTTTGTTTCTCAACTGGTTTACTCTTACATCCCATGATCCATTTATTCCACGATTATTTTAATTTTCTTTTTTTCTTTGTGACAGAACTATTAAATATAGATTTTACCTTTTCACAAGAAATTCAAAAGTAGTATAATAGAAAATTTTGAAAAAAAAAACAGTACAAAGGTAATTAATTACTTTGAAACTACTAATTAACTTGAATAAAAATTAGCTAAACAAGAAAAAAACGTTGACTAGACTCGGGATAAAAAGACAGTCCCAAGCCAGGAGCGGCGAAAGCAGCCGTTTCCACCGCCATCCGCTGCTGGATAGTTGCAGCTCCGGCGTCAGCAAACTCCTGCGCCAAGTTACGATAATACCCTTTGATCATCTTCACTAGCCTCACGTAGTACAGTCTCAGCCACTTTAACCTCATCTTCCTCACCACCTTCTTGAGCGAGAAGAATCTCCCACGTGGCGCACTGTTTCTTCCGCCGAGACGTATAACTTGCGGCTTACGCCGACGGAGATAGACCTTCCGGCGAGTTGACGGCCATCGGAACGCGGAGGTAATGAATGAATGTGTATTCATTTTATGATCTCTAGAGAGAGTTTTTGTTGAGTAAAGAAATAGAGAGATGGTTTTTATGGGAGTTAAAGATTAATGAGAAACTTATATATAGAGAGACTAGTGTCTTGAATTTAGTTATGTAGTCAATTACGGCTTATGTGACATATTACGTAATTTCCGTAAACTAATATAGTTTTTTGTCCATATCATAAACTATTTATAGTTTTTTTTTTTTCCTATATAACAAAAATTAAATATACAGTTTATCTATATGTGTAGGGGATGACCTATATATCACGACATTTCAGTTGTACCACATATATTTGATGTTCTTGTGTGTTGAGACGATATGATTTTTAAAAGTTAGTAAGTTACTATTTTATTTTTTTGTGGGTAAACAAACATACAAGATGCTTGTGAATGTCTTGTCTCCTCCCGAGTTAGTTAAACATACAAGATGCTTTGACATGAATCATGTTTGTGTGCTCTTAGTTACTTTTGTTGAAACCTATTTGCTTTGGTTAGTGGTTATGCATATGACTATACATAAAGAAATGTAAGTAGATAAGCTTAGCTATAAAAAAGTAAAGCCTAGTTTATGTGTTGGTACAGAAGAAGACACTGCTAGTTACGTTGGCTCTAGGGACCGCTTTTGTCCCTATTGTTTGAGGTGAAAATGGTTCGAAACAATATAAAGAGAGAGATGAGGGCGAACAAAGACGTTTTTATTAGATCTGAACAAGGAGTTACAAAGAGAAGAGTAAAGAGGCGGACTAGCCGGAAGTACAAGATGGTGAGTAAACGGGAAGGTGACTAAACAGGAAGGTGACTAAACGAGAAGGTGACTAAACAGGAAGGTGAGTAAACGGGAGGGTGAGTAAACCCTAGATCTAACCACCTAGTCGCTAAGAAACCCTAGATCTAGCCGCCAAGTGAGTATGTCGAATTCCGGATCCCCTTTTCCTTTTGCTGCCTCTCTCCTTTTATAGATCCAATCTTCGTGTTCGCCCTAACTTGCCCTAGCCTTGTTGGGCCTTATTACCGCTAGGCCCGTTTAGTAGTTCGGGTAAATCGTTCTTCCGCCGACTCTTCTAGAACACATTTAGTCGCGCTACTAAACGCGTCTCATACCGAGTCGTTTTGGTGTCACCCGGTGGGCCGAGTGTATTGTCAGACTGGGCTAAGTTTTCCTCATTTGATGGGCCTTGTGGAGGGGTATAACCCATCTCCTACAATAAGTCCCCCCCAGTTCACTTGTGAATCCGTAGGATTCTAAGTGAATTTATGGATCAGGTTTGATCAGATGGGAAAACTTGCAAGAATGCACGTTTAGGCGACACCCCCGACGCGTCTAGTATTGCGGCTAGAACGTCGATTGCAAGCGCGTTTAGGCGACACCCCGAACATGTTTAGTCTCGCGACTAGAACGTCGAGCATGAGCGTGTTTAGGCGACACCTTGAACGTGTCTAGTCTCGCGGCTGGAACGTTGATCATGAGCATGTTTAGGCGACACTTCGAGCAGGTTTAGTCGCGCGACTGGGAGGTCGATCATGAGCACGTTTAGGCGACAACTCGAGCAGGTCTAGTCTCGCGACTAGAGCGTCGATCATGAGCGTGTTTAGGCGACACATCGAGCAGATCTAGTCTCGCGGCTAGGACGTCGATCATGAGCACGTTTAGGCGACACTTCGAGCAGGTCTAGTCGCGCGACTGGGACGTCGATCATGAGCACGTTTAGGCGACAACTCGAGCAGGCCTAGTCTCGCGACTAGGACGTCGATTAGGAGCACATTTAGGCGACACCTCGAGTAGATCTAGTCTCGCGACTAGGATGTCATCTATTGTCGCGTAAATGCACCGGTTTGGGCTTGCTTGGTAGTGCGACTAGCTTGTCAGTCGTGAGAGCATCTAAGCGACAACTCGGGCGTGTCTAGTCTCGCGACTAGGAAGTCTCATATTGTCGCGTAAAGGCGTCATGTTGAGATTATTTAGTAGTATGACCGAGTTGATGCGTGTGAGGGTGCGTTTAGGCGACACCTTGAGCGCGTCTAGTCTCGCGGCTACTGTGTTTCCTATTGCTTCATAGAGACGTCTGAAACATTAACTAAATTATCACTCGTGGAGCAACACTTAGTCTTAGTAGATCTTCTGAGTTGAGGGGCACATTCAGCCTCTTAACCGTCTTCTGGTTCAATCTCAATCGCTGCTCGGTTGAGCTCTGGTTTAATCTCGGTTGGGATAAACCGGTATCTAGAGTTTAACCAAACTGGATTAGGTTAAGGGTTAATAGATCTTGGATAATCTCCTGGGTTTTTGCAGTTAATGGGCTTATTTAGGCCCGCTTAAATGCATTAATTGCACTTAGAAAATCGTGCCTCTCGACTTTGCTATAAATAGGTAGATTCTCTCCTTCTTTCATTATTCTTCTCTGCAAACTCAGGTACTTTCTTCTCTCCCTTCTCTCTACTTTTAGCTTTCTCTCTCTAAGTACTCTGTTTCGAGTTA